CTGACTGTACCGTAGTATCTACTGAGCCAGTAGTATCTACTGACTGTACCGTAGTATCTACTGAGCCAGTAGTATCTATTGACTGTACCGTAGTATCTACTGAGCCAGTAGTAGCTACTGACTGTACCGTAGTATCTACTGGGCCAGTAGTAGCTACTGACTGTACTGTAGTATCTACTGAGCCAGTAGTAGCTACTGACTGTACCGTAGTTACTACTGAGCCAGAAGTAGCTACTGACTGTACCATAGTATCTACTGGGCCAGTAGTAGCTACTGACTGTACTGTAGTATCTACTGAGCCAGTAGTAGCTACTGACTGTACTGTAGTATCTACTGATCCAGTAGTAGCTACTGACTGTACTGTAGTATCTACTGGGCCAGTAGTAGCTACTGACTGTACTGTAGTATCTACTGAGCCAGTAGTAGCTACTGACTGTACTGTAGTATCTACTGAGCCAGAAGTAGCTACTGACTGTACCGTAGTATCTACTGGGCCAGTAGTAGCTACTGACTGTACCATAGTATCTACTGGGCCAGTAGTAGCTACTGACTGTACCGTAGTATCTACTGAGCCAGTAGTAGCTACTGATTGCGTAGTAGTATTTACTGGGCCTACAGTAGTATCTACCGACTATATAGTCGTAACGACTAACTGTATAGTATCTGCCGACTCTATAGTAGTATCCACTGACTATAGTAGTAACTATTCACTCTATAACAGTATGTACTGACTGTACAGTGGTATATACTGACTGCTGGGACCTGCTATGATTACAGCAGTGCATATTGTGGTGGAACCTGCTATGATTACAGCAGTGCATATTGTGGTGGAACCTGCTATGATTACAACAGTGCATATTGTGGTGGAACCTGCTATGATTAAAGCAGTGCATATTGTGGTGGAACCTGCTATAATTACAGCAGTGCATATTGTGGTGGAACCTGCTATGATTACAGCAGTGCATATTGTGGTGGAACCTGCTATGATTACAGCAGTGCATATTGTGGTGGAACCTGCTATGATTACAGCAGTGCATATTGTGGTGGAACCTGCTATGATTACAGCAGTGCATTTTGTGGTGGAACCTGCTATGATTACAGCAGTGCATATTGTGGTGGAACCTGTTATGATTACAGCAGTGCATACTGTGGTGGTACCTGCTATGATTACAGCAGTGCATATTGTGGTGGAACCTGCTATGATTACAGCAGTGCATATTGTGGTGGAACCTGCTATGATTACAGCAGTGCATATTGTGGCGGAACCTGCTATGATTACAGCAGTGCATATTGTGGTGGAACCTGCTATGATTACAGCAGTGCATATTGTGGTGGAACCTGCTATAATTACAGCAGTGCATATTGTGGTGGAACCTGCTATGATTACAGCAGTGCATATTGTGGTGGAACCTGCTATGATTACAGCAGTGCATATTGTGGTGGAACCTGCTATGATTACAGCAGTGCATACTGTGGTGATACCTGCTATGATTACAGCAGTGCATTTTGTGGTGGAACCTGCTATGATTATAGCAGTGCATACTGACTGGTGGTAATTTCTATGATAACAGCAGTGCGTACTGACTGTGGTGTTACCTGCTATGATTAGAGCAGTGCATAGTGGTGGTCCCTGCTATGATTACAGCAGTGCATACTAACTGTGGTGGGACTGTGGTGACATGACCGCGGAGCAACTCCGCAAGCGCCGTGACTCCCTCCCGCCCCCCGCACTAAACACACACCCGCACGCAGCACACCCACGTAGTGTCCTGGCCGGGGGTTGCCTGGCACATCGGGTTTTAATCCGAAAGGCCCCTAGGGTTAGAGTCCCATGGTTTCCCGGTGCCAGGAGATTGGCCGACCCCCACAGGACAGGTTACATTGCGGTGCCCCTAAATTGGCTTAAAATTGAATGGACACGAAAAGAAAAGGTTCCCTGGGTCAACCGCAACGAGTTATGCACAATATTGGGGGGAGGACGGAGGGTGGAATATTAGGCGTAAAGAGCAAAACCGAAGGCTCAAACTACTGGGCACAGGAGAACAATGGGTAAGGGGCGAAAAGAGCAAAAAAACGAAGGCTCGAACTAAGAAAATGATGGGTGGAGGCGTAACGGACTTTCCAGGTGAGGGCGGGGCATCAGTTGTAAATCGAAAGGTAGGTGCGTGATTAGCTGCGCGACGCGACGCCCCCCCGAGCCTTTGAAGTTTAGAGTCTAAAGGTGGGAGCCCCGGGACGATTGGGGCAGTTGTTTACAACCTCCGGGCTGTCACGACCCACTCCCTGCCTGCTGTCTGGCCTGTTCAAGCCGCTCACAGCATCCGTGTGATGCCAGCGAGTGCTGCTGCGAGACAGTGATTGGGCAAGTCTTCTCTCGTCCTTCTCCTTCCAACTTCATAGGCAGAGTTACGCAAGGCTCTCCTCGTGAAATATTCCTTCTCTGGGCAATGAGTATTGGCACCACTAATAAACTCTGTATATGGCGCGTCTGTGTGGAGAGACGGTGTGCCTGGCATGTGTGTGAGCGCAGGGCTGCAGCATGGGGGTGGTGTGAGTGATTTGAGCATACACGTGAGGCACGTGTACTGCAGCACACACGGCCGCCGTCGTTTGCACGTGCTTGCGCTCGCGTGCGTGTTTACACAGCGCGCTTTACGCAGCGAGTTTGCACCGCGTGTTTGCACTACGCTGCCGGGTCCTCCGAGGGCCGTAACACTGGCCGATGGGGAAGCACCTGTAGATATTCATACAGCGGCCGTTTCTTTTCAGTTTACATTAGCATTAGCCATTGTTTGCAAGCAGATTAGGGTTTAACCCACGGAGGTGTACGCGCATATTCATAATGCCATCTTGATTAGCGCCATCCATTGTGAGGGAAATATGCGCCTGCAGGGGCGCGCGCGTGCACGCCTCTGCGTTCTTTTTATGTGGTGGGGTACATGTGCGTGTACCTGCTATGATTACAGCAGTGCATCCTGATTGTGGTGGTACCTGTGTAGTAGGTTCAAGGAGACTTGGACGACGTAGTCGGAGGCACACTTATTTATTGAACTACAGTTGTATATTACAGGCTGAGACATACAACACTTGAAGGGGTATCGGCCCCTTCACCTGTCTAACAGGGAGAACCACACAATCTCTGTCGCGGCTAGCCTACTCCCAGGTCCACCACTACAGGGCTAGGGTAGGCTAGCTAACCCAGCTCTGGTCAAGCTGGGATTACAGCACCCTGAGTCCCCAGACCGGCTCTTAGAAGAACATCGGCCTGGGCTCTCAGGGCCACGCCACTGGCTTGCCCTGGTCGGTCCTGAGAAGGACAGCAATCCAGGGGAGTCCCAGGGCCTATCTAGCCAGTCTTCTTTCTTCGCTGGTTTAAGCTAAACACTGAAACCCCGAGCCCTCCGGCTCACCGCCTTATATAGCAACTCCCCCACCGAGGGGTGGGGCCGTGGGGGATCCCAGTGCCGTATTAGCCCCCCAGGCTAATCGGTGCGGACGTGGATGTAAGCATCCTTTCGCGTGCGGGCATAACCACACCCTGTGTGTTTGTTTGCCCTCCCGCAACACCTTTACACCTGCTATGATTACAGCAGCGCATACTGACTGTAGTGGTACCTGCTATGATTACAGCAGTGCATACTGACTGTGGTGGTACCTGCTATTATAACAGCAGTGCATACTGACTGTGGTGGTACCTGCTATGATTACAGCAGTGCATACTGTGGTGGTACCTGCTTTCACTACAGCAGTGCATACTGACTGTGGTGTTACCTGCTTTCGCTACAGTAGTACATGTTGACTCTATAGCAGTATATATCGACTCTATAACACGTGACAGAGTGGCGTGGTGAGGCCTAGTCCCGTGCAGAGCCCCCGGCCTCGCCTAGATTACCCAGCCGGCTGAGGTGGCAACTTGGCAGGCTGGGCCGCTATCCCCCACCCCCCACCACCCCCCAGCCTGCGCTACAATAATACTAAGCGCTACAATATTAGTATCTACCGACCCTATAGTAGTAAGTGCACACATTGGGGGGGGAGGACAAGAGGACATGACACTGATTAATTTAGCTTAGCGTTGTGTATTTTTTTTGCATTTTGAACGCGAATGAGAAATTACCCAGCCGGCCGAGGTGGCACCTTGGCAGGCTGGGCCGCTATCCCCCACCCCCCACCATCCCCCAGCCTGCGCTACAATAATACTAAGCGGTATAATATTAGTATCTACCGACCCTATAGTAGAAAGTGCACACATTGGGGTGGGGGGGGGGACAAGCAGACATGAATGACACTTTGATTAATTTAGCTCAGCGTTGTGTATTTCTTTGCATTTTGAACGCGAATGAGAAATCCCCCCCCCCCTCACCGATGACGTGTGTGCGTTGCTAGGGGCAACCCCCAGGCAGCTTGAGCGACGCGAGGAAATAATTAAGTAATGGAAAATATCACTAAATTGCTCATTTAACTACTTTAAATTTGACGGATGGGAAAACGGAATAGTGCTGGTTCACCATGGGGCTTACGGTGTGGTACCCGGCAACTTTTTAAAAACATAAACCCCACGGTTCGCGAGCCAAATCCTTTGCAAGTTGCGTGCACACAGATACAGATGGACAGATGGACAGACAGACAAAAAATGACGTTTATAGGTAAGATGACTTGTTTACCCAGGAAAGCCTTAGAACCTGCATCGCACTGTCTTAACTCTAGAGTCTAGATGGTCTATAATACGTTGTATTACTCTTGTTTATCTAGTAAAGCTCTACTGAGTCTCAAGTGTCCCATAAATTTTTTTTCACCCAGGGGGCGATGTTGCTGCTGCTGTGCGTAATCTCAATTGAGAGATTTGTAGGCAATTTCCAGCATTGAGGTGTATGCCCAATATCGTTAACATTTAGGGTTTTTTTTGTTACGTGAGGCAACCTGACCAAGAGGAGAACATACAAACCTGCTGGAAAAAAAATCCCGCAAACAAATTTCACGCAGAAAAAAAACCACACCACCCTAATCGGGAATCGAACCCAGGAGCTTCTTTTCACGAGGTACTGCACAATTGTTGCCAGCGTGGAGCTCTGCCGCTCGAGCGTTTACGAGAAATGACCTCAGCAGGTCACCGCAGCAGTTGTGACGGACATCACGGGGGAGGTGGTAAACATTGCTTATCAAACCCAAAACGTTAACCCTCCAAGGTCATTGTCAATGCCAATAAATCAAACACACATTTCCCGTGGCTTAACTATTACAGTAACAATAACCTCGCACAGATGGTGCATCATAATTTAACTCCTGCAAGAGACCATCGGCACACAACCCCCAGTTAGAAGGAACGGAGACACAAGTATGAATATTTACTGTCCCTGAGAAAACTATAACATTGTATGTTTAAGTAGATGGTCTAACCGAGGCCGATCGATATCATCCACCTGATAACCATGTTCATACATCAATGCCAACTGTTGCTTGTCCGCACAGACTCAACGAACCTTGTACTATGACCAATTTTGGATCACAACTGCGGTGGTTTAGCCAATTTTTTTACAGGGCATTTGGGGGTGTGGTGTCACGTGACAAACGTGGTGCAATTGTCGATCTGAGTATGTGACACTGTCTCGTCACGGTATTTCAGCCTTCTCGCATTCGATCCACTTCCATGGGACAGGAATCATTATCACGTGAGGATTTGTGTTTTCCGTTTTATATTTTCTCATGTACGCAGATGCTTGTATATTAACTTTTAATAGAGAATAACATTGATTATAATAATAGTATAGTTCTGCTTGTTTTACCCAGGAAACCCTCACCGAGTCTCAAGACTCTTTTTTTCAGGAGGGCTCTGCCAAGTTTTCGCAATAGGGGGTGATGTTGCCACTTTGTCTGATCCCAAATGAGAAATGTGCAGGTAATATTTCAGCATTGGTGATGTTTGGCCGTGCATAACAGGTGGGAGAACATATAAACTACCAACAGTCGAGGATCGAACCCAGGTCCCTTCTTACTGTAAGGCACGAGTATTGCAACTGCGCTACTCTGCCAAGTAAACCGTGATCCAGAGCATTGTCACGTTCAAACACTTGTTTGCTCACATTTTAACGTGAACAGAAATACGTATTTGAAACCTGATTAGCAACAATATCTTACCGCAGGTGCCAAGTTGTGGGTGATTAAATTTTATCCACGTGGTTTATATTCCCTCCGAAATGTAGTTGCTTCATTTATGGAGAGGCTTCGCGAGCATGAGTTGTGTTTCCTGTAGGAGGTGACTCCGAACGGCTGGGAGACCATGGCGCTGTCCTCAGCCACTTTCGTGCTCCTCATTGGCAGCATTATCCCGATGACCCTGTGCGCAGGTGAGTCAACACTTCACGTTCATTAATGTTGCATGCAATGAGGAAGGGCATTCCCTTTCAATGCTTCATAAATGCAATGTGTCGTGACTGGGGGGGGTATTGTTTTGTTTACGGCATAAACAATGTCTGTCACAGTTACTCACAATCAGCAGTGTTCTGATTTATTTTACACCATTGAAATGGTCGGCAGATTTGCAAAGTTTGATATCAAAAGTCAGTACATTTGGAGGCACGTTACAATTGTATTCGATTTGATAACAAATATCACAGCAAGGTTACAGCAGTGTGGCAGAATTGAAGTAGTAGTCAGTGGCGGCTCGTGACATTTCCACTAGGTGGGGCGAATGGCGGAGCCAAGATTTTCAGGCAGGGGGGCGAGTGTACTGTATACGCAACTGCGCACAATTCTGAGTCACTGAAATTAGGGATTTCGATCGGATCATTGGGAGGGCACGTGCCACCGCACCCCCACCCCCCACTGGCTCCACCAGTGGGTGCGGCTGTTGTGAGTGACGTCTGAAAATATGGTGTTCTAATTAAGAAAAACCTCATGTTATTGGCATTCCCATGACAGTGATATAACTGTCTTATCTACCAACGGTAGGCATTTATAAACAATACGACATAAAACAAAGCAATCAAATGCTGTCCTCATGACCCTCAAGTCTACACTACACAACCCTTTCATCCTTTCAAATGGAATATTTAGGATTGACTCCACCGTATTTGTTCCCAATTCGTTTGCTGCACCTGTTGCCATCGCTATTGCTATTTACACCGAGACCGTGTAGGCCGTCACCTGCTATATTTGCACAGTGCAACCTAGCGTTGTGACATGGTGATTACAGCAATAGGCGGACCTTTTCACCGCCCTGAATGGGTCTTAATCGACGTGGCTAAAATGCTAAGCTAATCATAATGAAAAGGAAGGGATATCTCTCACTCGGAAGCCTTCACAGCCGGCCGAGACCTCCCTGAGGCACAAATCAGACTGTGTTGCAGCGGATTCTAATATGAACTTAAATTGATATCTTTATTAGGCAATTCACGTTGAAAGAATCACTATATTAAAAAAAATGTAAAAACAACAAAACAATTTATAGAAAAGTATTGTTTATTAGAAAAATCTTTTCTCATATCCAGCTGCTTGGTGGGCGGCAACCCAACGCCCCGAGCAGACGAACAACACCTGGTAGGAGTAATTAAATAATAGTGTACACTAATAAGGCAAGGCCAATGGTCAAACATGTGTAGAGGAGAGAAACACGCGGTGCGCACAGTTAAGCGGGTGTAACGGAGGGCAAACAGGTGTGCGTGTTGCAACATGAGGTTTGCACAGACAAACCTCCAGTAATTAAGGGGAGAAGCGGGTGCAACCGAGGTCGAACAGGTGTTACGCTGTGAACGGAGGTTGGTGCCTGGACGGGAGATGGGGGATGATGATAAGAGATTAATGTGACAACTGGCACCGGCCTGGCGGCAGCTTAAGTAGAAGCACGTGAGGACTTGGGATGAGCAGGGGGATATAAGTGGGAGTGTGTGTATGAGCAAGGGGGTTGGTGCCAGGAACCAAGAGTGAAGATATCTCGCCGCTGCCGCTCCAGCCGTCAACGGGACCTCAACCCTCACGCCGTCGCCGTGTGGGTGTTGGCTGAACCTCCTGCCCGGGACAGGCGGGTGAGCGGGTCTGAGGGAGCGTAGGTGAGGGCAGTGGTGGAGATGCAAAGTTGCTGTATGCAGAGTCGCTGAGTGCGAACACTTTGCCTGACGGTTGCCTCTTGTTGGGAGAAGTGTTTTTGGAAAAACAGGATGCTGGACAAGTTCTGTCGCGTTTGCGTCGGGCTAACAGCGCTTTCGAGGAGTTGCGAGCAGCAAACCTGGAGAGAGAATGCAACGAGGAACGATGCAGCATTGAGGAGGCAATGGAAATCTTTAAAAATAAGGAACTCGCGGTATGTAACCCTTATACAAAACTAAATGTGTGTCTGCATAATTACGTGTGCATGCTGCATGTGCACAAAGGGCCCACAAAGCCAAAACTAGGCCAAGGACAACACTTCCAATACATAGAGTACCGACATGGCAATGCAGATTAAATTACATTCATATTCTAGCATGAACACACTTCTACATTGTATATTTTCCACACCGAAACCTATGCACGTTTTAACCACAGGGCAGCACTTCAGAGGTATTTTCCAGCTCATCTGCTTCATTCAGAAAACCTGGCAATCAAGAGTACCAGGACACTTTTCTGGCCAATGCATTAACTCCGTTGAGCTCATGAAACAGCCTACGTGGCCATGAAACAAATATATTTATGGATAACTAACACACGTGAATGGTGGAGTCACAGGGGAGCAATCGGCGAATTGTACCTCAATAGATTTAGTGCGAATGGTTATACCCACGTTTGGAAACCCCCACGATGGGCAAAGTTTGCGTGTACTATCTTGCTTATGAAGATATATGTTGGGTTAAGAATCGTATTGTACTCCAGCACTTAACGCTTTGAACTTACCATAATTTACAGTTCTTTAGTAATCACAATGCTTATGAAACGTGTTTTTTTTCCAGAATGATTTCTGGAACACATATGTCGGTAAGTACTAGATGCAATTTCTAAATACATTGCTGAATGTTCCTAAATGACCTCTAGGAATGTGTGCAAAATCTAATTTGATGCATGTATGTAGCATACTTTGTAAGACTACACAAATTTCACCAGGCTCACTGTTCATGAACTCTTGGAAGTGCTTGCACAAAGGATAGTAACATCTCATCCTGTGTTCTTGGAATCTGAATATCTGGACTTGTCCAGTGACTGCTGAGAAAGATCAGCTGACAACAGGGGAAAGTCCTTGTGGCGGCACGGAGAGACGGCTGACAGGAGGGAATAGACTCCATTGGGACAGTCATGGGTTAGCTTCCCATTTCTGTAGTTTCCCATGCTTCGCAGTATGTTGGAAACACCCGCTTTAGCTACAGAAAGTCAACATACGAGAATACCCCTAGAGTCTGCGAGAGCGGGGGCGGAAGATGACTCATCGGCTGACAACATGGTAATGACTGGACCGGAAACGACTATGAGTAATGAGAGCACAGCACAAGAGAACACCACAGCAACTGTCACAAGTTCCGCTGCAACAGCAGGCCACAAACAGATGCAGGTATGTGTCTGTGGTTGGAGGAAAGTTACATCACACCATGGGTTGAGGATCCACCAGGGGAAGAAGGGGTGTTTGGGTAAAGAGAGACAGAGGCCTCGCATTGATTACTTTCTGCGAAAGCGATCAAATCAGTCGAATGAAGCACAGCAACTGGACGCAAACCATAGTTTGCAGTGCATCAGTACCACTGTCATGGAGGACGTAAACTCAAGCACTGAAGTAACAACTGAGGTGGAACCAACAACAGGAGTGGAACTCACCCAGCCTCCCAGACCTGCAGTCGAGAGGAGACTACCAGGGCACAGACCGTATGTGAAGTGGCCTGGCGCCAGTGACAAGAAGTTGTGGGAAACAGTGAATACTGACCTTACCTTGACCCTCGAGAAACTTCGAGGCACAGTGGAGAAGAAGTTGGAGAGGATGGGGGACATCATCTATGAGTACGGGGCAGAAAGCTTTGGAGTGCAAGAGGCAAAAGGCTGTATCGGAGGCGGCAGAAGGCAGAAGGCAGCAGTCAGTGGTTCTGGATGAAGAGGAAAGACCCCAGCTGGGTCCCGAAGTGAGAGGGCCAGGAGGTATGCGGTCAACAATGCTTGACTCAGGGAGGAGGACGCCACTGCCATGCATAGTCCCATGGGATGTTGGCTATCAATAACAAGGCAACTCCTATGACTAATTGGGAATGGGACGCAAGTGTAGGATTGATCACCCTGTCGCTGGCCGCCTTTGGGGAGGGTGTATAGTGTGAAAGGCCGAAACACCCTAGGAACCAAAGGTACACTACTGTAGATGCGCTCCCCAAATTTCACCAGGCTCACTGTTCATTAACTCTTGGAAGTGCTTGCACAAATGATAGTAACATCTCATCCTGTGTTCTTAGAATCTGTAGGAATTTAAAACAATAACAATAATCTTCATTTATCGAGCGCCTTTCATAGCTCCACAAGATTGAAGGCCACTTCGTATGAGGTAAAACTAAACGTATACAGTGAGGGGGAAAAAGTATTTGATCCCCTGCTGATTTTGCACGTTTGCCCACTGACAAAGAAATGATCAGTCTATAATCTTAATGGTAGGTTTATTTGAACAATGGGAGACAGAATAACAATAACAAAATCCAGAAAAACACATGTCAAAAATGTTATAAATTTATTTGCATTTTAATGAGGGAAATAAGTATTTGACCCCTCTGCAAAACATGACTTAGTACTTGGTGGCAAAACCCTTGTTGGCAATCACAGAGGTCAGACGTTTCTTGTAGTTGGCCACCAGGTTTGCACACATCTCAGGAGGGATTTTGTCCTACTCCTCTTTGCAGATCTTCTCTAAGTCCTTAAGGTTTCTAGGCTGACGTTTGGCAACTCAGACCTTCAGCTCCCTCCACATATTTTCTATGGGATTAAGGTCTGGAGACTGGCTAGGCCACTGCAGGACCTGTGTTTTGGGTCATTGTCATGCTGGAATACCCATCCACAGCCCATTTTCAATGCCCTGGCTGAGGGAAGGAGGTTCTTACCCAAGATTTGACGGTACATTGCCCCGTCCATCGTCCCTTTGATGCAGTGAAGTTGTCCTGTCCCCTTAGCAGAAAAACACCCCCAAAGCATAATGTTTCCACCTCCATTTTTGATGGTGGGGATGGTGTTCTTGGGGTCATAGGCAACATTACTCCTCCTCCAAACACGGCGAGTTGAGTTGATGCCAAAGAGCTCCATTTTGGTATCATCTGACCACAACACTTTCACCCAGTTGTCCTCTGAATCATTCAGATGTTCATTGGCAAACTTCAGACGTGCTTTTTTGAGCAGGGGGACCTTGCGGGCACTGCAGGATTTCAGTCCTTCGCGGCGTAGTGTGTTACCAGCTGTTTTCTTGGTGACTATGGTCCCAGCTGCCTTGAGATCATTGACAAGATCCTGCCGTGTAGTTCTGGGCTGATTCCTCACCGTTCTTATGATCATTGCAACTCCACGAGGTGAGATCTTGCATGGAGCCCCTGGCCAAGGGAGATTGACAGTTCTTTTGTGTTTCTTCCATTTGCAAATAATCGCACCAACTGTTGTCACCTTCTCACCAAGCTGCTTGGCGATGGTCTTGTCGCCCATTCCAGCCTTGTGTAGGTCTACAATATTGTCCCTGACATCCTTGGAGAGCTCTTTGGTCTTGGCCACGGTGGGGAAATTAGAATCTGATTGATTGATTGCTTCTGTGAACAGGTGTCTTTTTATATAGGTGTAGTGAGTAGCAGGGATGCGGATGCCGGAGTTGAGGCACACTCTTTTTATTAAACCAGGGACAGACACAATAGTTGAAGGGGTAACGGCCCCTTCACCCGTACTATCTGGGAAACCACCCTAGTACTACGCCCTCTGTCCTGCTCCCCAGTCCTCCTCTACTGGGCTACGGGAGGCTATCTTGATCTGGCCCTGGTAAGCACAGATCTGGGCACCAGGTAAGCCGGCCCTGCCCTTACAAGAGCAGAGGTCCGGAAGCTCTTGGGCCGCGCCGCTGGCTTTCCCAGCTCGGCCCTGACAAGGGCAGCGAGACCGGGGAGTCCCAGGGCCTAATCTCCGACTCTTCAGTCTTCACTGGTCAGCTTCGTGTCGAACTGGCCCCGAGCTCTCTGGCTCCCCGCCTTTTATAGCGATCCCCTCGGAGGGGCGGGGTTATGGGGGATCCCAGTGGTTAATGGGTGCGGACGTCGGTGTGGCCACCCGTGTGTGCGGGTACCGACACCCCTGTGTTTCTTGTCTGCCGTTTCTCCCGTAATAACCCCTACATCACCCCCCCCCCCCCCCCCCCGTACAGCTCGCAGCCGTCCCGGCTGCAACAATTCCTTAAAACCCCAGAATAAAGAAGTAACACAGTCAACACGCGTGTGCCTCGTAACAACAACAACGATAACAAGAACAAGCGTAACAACAACCGACGGTCCCCTATAAATACCCACTGCCCCCAACGCAACATATGTACAGAACGTGGTTCCCCATCCCCACGCACAAAGAATTATACACACACACACAAAAAAAATGAGCGAGTCCTCCAGCAGCGGAACACGCGCGGAAAGCAACTTATAACAACCGGCGCGTCTTGGCGCGTGTCCATGCAGCGGGCCCGTCACAAAGGCCCGACCCGGTAGAGTCGGTGGCAGGTGTCGAATGTGCAGGTGCACGGTCGTCCAGCTTCCCAGACGAGCCAGCGCCGCCCGCCTCGGAGGAAGCTGGCAGCCGAGAGGGCGTCAGTCCTTGGGCCCCTGAAGACGGAAAAGTTAGTAGCGGATCAAAGGCTGACGGCGACCCCGCCCTCCAGGAGTCCGTGAACCCCCCACATGTTCGGCCATAGTCATGAGAGGAAGCGTGCGGAGCAAAGAACGGCTTCAACCGTGAAGGGTGCACGAACCACCGACGCTTCCCCCATTTAATGCGCACACATTGAGGCTGCATAACCTGCACAATTTCCACGGGGCCCCTCCATGGTCGCAACAACTTAGACGAGGTGGCCAATGGCACCTGGGGGCAGTGCAGCCATGCTCTGTCGCCCGGGTGCCACTCGTGCGTGTGTGACCAGTGCGATCGCAATCTCTCATTCTGCTTCTGTCGAGAGTCAGAGTTTTGCATGGCCGCCTGCCGTGCCTCAGTCAACCGGAGGATGTTAAACTTAACATGGTCTGCCAGTTTGGATTTAGCGTGAGGTGCGGCAATTGTCAGCTAAGTCGCGACAGGCGGGTCAACTTCGCGGCCATACATTAAAAAAAATTGGCGAGAATCCGGTCGCCGCATGAGGAGCCATCCTGTATGCTGCCAGGACTCCCGGGATCTGTAGATCCCAATCGGTTTGGGACTCAGATACCTGGTGGGATAGCATGGACGTAAGAGTCCTATGCAGGCGTTCAACCATCCCATCCGTATGTGGGTGGTACGGCGAGGTACGAATTTTTTCGTACCCAGAAGCCCGCACACCTCATGTAAAAGGGCACTAGTGAAATTCTTTCCCTGATCGGTCAACAACCGTTCCGGAGCGCCCTTGTCGAGGACATAGCCCTGAACAAAAGCCTCCGCAATGGCTGCTGCGGACTGGTTGGCGAGGGGCCAAGCCATAGGCCATCGCGTGAAGTATTCCACGCCAACCAGCAGGTACTTATTACCCCTCGGTGTGGAAGGAAACGGTCCCAAAATATCAAGGGCGACAAGCTCATTAATCCGGGTGACCAAAATAGACTGGAGCGGTGGGCTGGCTCCCTTCGCTGGCGGCTTCCGTTGTGCACACTGGGTACAAGACTGCAACAGATCGTCCACATCCCTTGCCATGCCCTGCCAAAAGTAATTAAGCTGGAGCATGGCAAGGGTTTTGAGGGTACCCAGGTGCAGGAGCCACTCATGAGCGGCCCACACAGCCCTACCCCTCAACGTGGAAGGCACCACCAGCCTGTGGC